CGAAAAGAATGAGGACCAAATTGTACCTTACTTTGAAAGAGGGACGAAAACCAAAAACGGTCAATAGTTTAGGGACTAAAAACATATTTAACCCTAAATAAAATAAGGTTAGAACTCTTTAATGATAAAATATAATTATAAGATTAAGAAATATAAATAAGATGATGTTAGAAACACTTAAACAAAAATAGTTGTAAGATTAACAAATAAATAAAGAGATGAAGTTAGGCATACCTTAATGAACAAAAATAATTATGAAATAAATAAGTAAAATTATGCGATTTGGGATATTTCATTTAGCAAAGATAATTATAAAATAAATAATTAAATGTATATAATATCTCATTCGCTTACCCGTGTATGGTACACTAAAATTAGATTAATAATATTTTAAAAAAATTTCTCTTTCTTTTTTTCTCCTTCTTTGCTACCTCTTTATATTTAACTTTTTACGCATAATTATAAAAAAAGAGTTATTTCTTATTTATTTCAGGCTTAATTGTGTTTCCTTCACAAATTTATAAACTTTCAATGAAATCCCTGATACATTTTTATGTTTATTAATTTTTTAATAAATTTATTTTTTAGTTGAGGTTTTGCTATTAATTTTTTCTGATAACAAGGTGATAGAGCTATTAAGTGACTTATGTGGTTGCTGTTATGTCATGTTGTTGTGTTATTTTATTATTTTAAAAATTTATAATTTATGATCTTATAATTTTAAAATTATAATTTTATAATTTTATATTTATAATTTTGTAATTTTTTAATTTAATAATTTATAAGTATAAATTATAAAGTTATAAATCACTATTTGATCCTTAGTTTTGTTTTGCATGGAAGTGTATCCCTTGTCAAAGTTGTTTTTGAGCTTCATGTCTTGTTGTTGACATCCTCTGCTTAGATAGTTGAAATAGACTATTTTATCTTTGTTATTTCCATCAATCATTGATAATACAAAAATGCGGATTGCTGATTGAAGGTTCTACTATTTGTTAGGATCACCTTATAAGATTGTTTTGAATCAACTTGTAGAAAATAAACATCATAAAAGATGGACACTTAACACTTTTCAAGTTGTCTATTCTTCTTAAACTTATTCTACCAACCTTCTCTACTCTTTTCTTTTAACGTATTTTCTAGCACTTCGTCTTCGATTTTTTCAAGTCCGTTTATCATGATGTATACCAAAGAGCTATGTCTAATGATAACATGTCATTTTTTCATGTTTGATGATTTGTTTGTCACCAGTGAAAACACATTTAATCTTTTTAATAGATTTTTCATTATGATTTCTCTTACATCATTTTCATCCTGACCCGTATAAATTGAGATTAAAAAAATTTACAAAACTAAAATGTTCTTTAAGTGAAAAAAGTTGTATCATATCAAAATATTCACATAAATCTTGTAGATCAAGATCATGAATATTTCTTTTATAAAAAGTATTCATTTTAAAAAAAATATATAGAATTAATTTCTAATCAGTTACAAAATATAAATATTTTTAATTTGACAAAGAACTATGTTAACATTTTAATCAGACAAACATATACTCTGTAAGAATATTTAATAAATTTGGTTGTTTTCTTATATAAAAAAATACACAACAATTTAAAATATTGAAATTTTTAATTTATCAAACATTCTTGAGTGACTAAACATATTTTTAAAATATATAAAATAGTCATTTAACTTTTTTACAGGAGAAATTTATATATATATATATATATATATATATATATATATATATATATATATTTTACATATAAATAATAATATATTTCTAATATAAACATATTTAGGTAATTTATTAATTTTAATGAACTTTTATCAAAATCAACAATAAATTATTTACAATATTAAGTGGTTTATAATGTATTTTTTTAATATTCACTAAATTTATTATTATTTGAATGAATATATGTTTACAATTTTTTAAACAAGTTGTTATTAGTTCAATTGTACAACATGTAGTTTATTTGTTTATCCTTTTTTTACTCTTGTAATTTTTTTAATATGTATGAATAAAAGTATATATTATATTTAATTATATAACAATACGAATGATATTAAAATATTAATTTAAATATAATAAAGTTATATTATTTAATAAAATATAGAGTTTTCATATGTATATAATTTATAAGAATTAATTAAAATTTTGTAATAAAGTTAAATCTATCTTAATTCTGATCTTAATTAATTTTAAAAGAGATTTTAGGAATTGAGTTTTTTTTTTTCTAAATCTCGTTTAGAAGAATCTTCTAAAAGAAAGTTTTCTAAAAAATAGGTTAGAAGTGACTCATGGAGTATGATGAAGTTGAAATCTCTATTCTTTATTATTCATTTAATAAGCTTTTATCTTATTTCTAAGCAAGTTTCTTCCTATAGTTTTTAACGAGACTTCATGTGAATTTATATGAAGCATTTTGTCATTAAGAGACTTCAAATTACTTTTCATACCAATCAAATTATTATATAAACCAAAACATAATATCATTTATTACTAAGTATTTTAAAAGAACTCTGCGTTTAATAACATACAATTAATATATGCCTTAACATAGTATAGTATATATAAGAAACCGACATAATTAAGTTTACTTGAAAAGTGTTACCAAACTTGTCAACCTTATCATTTACACCTCTTGATAAAATGAAATAAAAGAAAAAAAATATATAAATCATTTGAATAATTTAACCCCAAAAGTTCGAAGGTTGAATATATTTTTCATTAATTTATTTAAAGTGCTGGTTGCTTGCAAGCAAGAAGCTGGGAGAGAGAAAAAGGAAAACCTTCTTTCCTTCTCTCTGTTAAGTTTATTTCATCCAAACCTAAAATCCCCGACAACCACCGATTACTGATTTCAATTACATAATAACGAATCAAGAAGATCCTTTTCGGAGAAATACACAAAAATGGTGTCGGCGAACCAGGAAATGGTTGTTTACTGCTTTGACACCCTCGTCGCTCACTACAACAACCAGGAACCTCCTCCTCCGGCCTTCGATCAGGCTCAGCAGTAATTCCTCTCTCTTTTTTTTTTAAAAATAATTTATAATTTTTTCTTTATTGGCACAATATGTATTTTTCTTTGTAAATGGGAATAAAATCGTTGTGGTTTTTTCACGAGTTACTGTTTAAGTTTTGTGATGTTTAAAAGTTTCCTAATTTTTGCTCGTTCTACCATGGGAATATGCTCAAATAAGGTCATAAGTTTCTTAGTCACTTACCTGAGAAGGAAAAGGTGAAATGAATTGAGCTTTGTTCTGAGTTAAAAATCAATCCACGCACCTCTTGGAGGAGTTAGAGAAGAGAACTGCTGTAAAATTGAAGTGCATGGGTTGATTTTAACTTTTGGGAGGTTTTTTCTCTTGTTTATAGAGGAGTTTATCCAAACAGAACTTAATTACAAATGGGAATTGGAAATGGAGGAACAAATATCCTTGGTTTAAAGAAAGAAAATATTTGTTTAATGATTAGTTAGTCAGAATTTATAGCTGAGCTGTGTTATGGAGAAGAATATTTTACAAGATGTATTCGTTAAGAAATTTATTTGCATTGAAAGGGATTAATCTCTGATTTCTGATTGGAGATAGATATCCTTTTTCCAAACATAATTCTACTTGTGAGTTAACAACATGCCATGATATGGTGTCGTTGTTTGAAGCAACTGTGTTTTGTTTTTAGCCCATTGTTTGTTACATAGAAGAAAGTGGTGAATGGAGGAGATCCTCGACTTCGAGGATGCATTGGAACTCTGGAAGCACGCAGCTTGATCAGTGGGCTCAAGGATTATGCACTGACAAGGTTTGTTGATGTTATAGGTATCTCATGTTGTGTTGACACAAATTCCACTTGCATGCGTTTATTTGAACTAATTACGTTGCTCCTCATACTTGCATTATTAATATAGTACTTATGTGTTTGTGTTCTCTGCTTGCATCATCTTGTAGTGCCCTCAGGGACAGAAGGTTTCCACCCATACAGGCTAATGAGCTTCCGTTTTTGGAGTGTACAGTGTCTATTCTTACTGACTATGAAACTGCTAACAATTATCTAGATTGGGAGGTATGTGCTGATTTGCTTGTTTTGGTTTCTGGGCTATTTTTACCTTTGTCTTTATTTTGCCCCAACTTCTTTGAGCTTTTAAAACATGCCCACTATGTGATTTCTGCTATTTGCCTATAATGCTGTCGCTATCATGATGTAGCAAAGTTTAAGCTTTATGTGATTTTCTATCATCCACTATTGACAATATTGCTTTTGCAATGAGTACTCCATTCAAAGGAGATCTTAAGGTACTTGTGGATTTTCCCTGTATTGGTGGGTAGTTTGGGTATTACTTTTAATATGTATACAACGTCTGACATTTAGGAACCAAATAATAAGAAATCCCCTTACCACCACTGTTAGGTAGATAAATACTTACGGAATGTAAAACAATGAACATACTGTACAGGAAGCACTTCAAGTGGCTGAAACCTCCATTCGAACTCAAATCCTCTCTTCCCTTTTTCTTAGACTTCCCCTCTATATTTAATTAACTCACCAATGACAAACTCCATTATCTTGTTTTATTATTCTGTTATGATCCATATTTCTACATTCATACTTAAAAACATTTTGGTATAACAAGATAAATCTAATCCTATGTTATTCTTGTTCATCATTGTTCTTCCTCTTTCTCTACTTTCTCATGTGATTCTTGGATAATTGGACGTCTAACATAACTCTCTTTGTTTTTTACGAACTATGTATTTGGATAACTAATCTGGGTTTGTAAATAAGTTTTGCCTTCTGTTAGAAGTTTGTGTAAATATTTATGAGTTGTAGTTATTCTCTGATCAGGTTGCCTTGGTTATTGTAACCAAATAATTATTTTCCCTTGGCTTTGATGTTTCTTTTGAAAGTTTTTGGCATTTTCAGTAGTTGACATAATCTGATTAAATGCAAGCATCATCCTTGTCCACAATAAATTTGTAAGAGAAAATTGGTGTTGAATCATGTAGTAATGTTCTAATTTATCTTTGGTGATTTGTTTTGTAAAGAGAAGAACATTTGAGACTGCAAGAGAAAAGTGGATGAAGTAGAAAATAGTTTTATTTATAAAGGATAGAGGAAGACTGAAGTTTATTTCGAAGAAACTAAAAATGACCTTGATTTAAAAATGGATTTCTGGAACATTTGATGGGGCCTAGTAATGTTGTGTAAGAAAGGGAGCATTGGTGCACCAGATGGAACAGTTGTCAGGTGATCCAGAGGTTACAGATTCAAATTTTGGAATCAGCCAGCCTCTTATAGAGGCAAGGTAAGGATGCCTCCCAAAGACTCAAGCATTAGGTCTGATCCTTCCCTTTGAACAGAAGGAGATCTATAAAACCTAGCTGCCCTAATAGTGTCATGCAATGTTTTTTTTCTTGCAATAGACTTCTGATTTTAATGATTTGATCGGAGTTGCTGTTAGAATGTTCAAGAAGGTTTTATTACTTGCTGAAAAGGTGTCCTTTGCTGACCTGTCGTTTCTTATAAATTGGTTGTTTGCATATGAGTTTCTTATAAATTGGTTTTTTCAAATGTTTTGGTACGATCTATGATAGAAAACAGTATTATGAATTTCAGAAGGAAAGTGAGAGAACTAGCAAGAAAATTTTGGACAGAATTTGAAATTTCAATTACTTAGAAGGTAATGGATTGAATTGACTTAACAATGAAAATTGAATTATCAGGAGTTAGGAAAGCAACGTATAACTTAACAACCTAAAGGCTGTAATGACAACCCTGCTAACTAATTTATTTCAAGTCTGGCAACAAACTCTAATAACTACTACTTGATTATAACAGAAACAGAAAAATGAAAATAAACTCGTAGAAGATGAAACTTCTCTATATTATTACAGAATGTAGGAATACATATAAACCTAGCTAGATGCTGACTCTGCAGTTTGTTGTAGAGAGGTTAATTATGTATTATAATGACCTGATTAACTAACTACCTGATAACTGAATGTAGATACAACATACTGTATATAGCTGGTAGTTGCTCTAACATTCCTGTCATTCTCAAGCAGAATGCAGTCATGAAAATTGGTTTGAGGCCCTAAGTTTGTCGTGTAACTCATGTTTTCCTGGATGACATAGTGAGAAACATCAATTGCTGATGACCATCGTTTGGATATAAAGCAAGTCTGGTTCCATGTGTACTGTTAGATGTTAAGATGTGTGTTTCTGTTATTTGGGCTTAGTCTATTCTGTATTAAGGGCATTGGCCCATATCTTACAATATAAATAAATTACCCTATGTGTATGCTAAACACACAAGGGATATTTTCTCCCAATCTTTTCTATTTCTCATATGTACCTTCAGGTATCATTAGTATACAATTTACCACCTTCCAATTCCCTTCAAGGGCTGTTAAAGAATTACCGTATTCATGCCCGTAACTAATCTCATGTCTTGTGAGAGTGGCATATTGCAAGGAACCTACAGTGGACTATGTGTTTGTTATCTTCCATGTTTGCCTTGGCCAGTAGGTGATGAATATGCTTGTCTTAAAAGAGCAAAACTGCACCATTGGGAAGGTGCTTGACCTCAATACCTTAGTAGTCTGGCAACACTGCACTAATGTAAACTCATTCTGAACTTTAACATGGTAAAGATTAGTTTTACATTTGTGTTCATGAAGAAAGTAATTCACTAATTTTGTTATTAGATTGCATTTTATTTATTTTCTGGGATTCTATGGGTAATGATATATACGGTTAACTTGTTCCATCAATGTCATGGAGCTAAAAGTTGTTTACTTTTTAATTGATGTTGAGTCTTTCAAGCACGCAGATAATACTGACTTGCAAGATAATGTACAATTTTAAGTGATATAAAATATTAATTCTAGGACACTATTGTATTTATACTGTCTTTTTCACTTTTAGATTTTGTGTGTTTATTTGCAGATAGAAAAGCATGGTATAATTATTGAATTTTCTGATCCTGTGTATAGCACAAGGCGTAGTGCTACATACCTGCCTGAAGTGGCTGCCAATGAAGGTAACTTATGTTCCCTATTGAATGTTGTTTTACATTTTGGAAATGACATCTAAGTTACCAAATTGAAATGCCACAAATAAAAGTTGCCGTGTATTCCTTTACACTAGACTCTCTAAAATTTATTAGGATGAAAGTTCATGATAATCCTATAACGGAAGCAACAACCAGGGAGAGGCAAATAATTCCTACAATTCTTGTACCATAGCAAGTTGAGGGTTTAGACGAGCAGTTCCTATCTACCCTGAGTGGATTTCCCAATTGTGTATACTACATTTTAAAATTAATATAATGGTTTGCATTTAACAGAATCTAGTGAATTTGATAGGTTTCTGAACAAAAAAACCTAATCAATGAACACCATCACACACTCTCACACCAGTATAAGGGAAAGAATGAGAGAAAACTTGTATTATTCATAGCAAAGAATAGTCTGTACAGTCAAGATACAGGGGCATAATCCCCTTCACAGGTCTAAGGCCTGTCAACAATCAAAGTTCCAAAAGCTCCCCTCCCAACTAAACCAACAAACTATTTATACAACCTCTTTTCCCGCTCCCTCTAACTGTTAGAAACAGTTAGGTTATTAAAACTAATTATTCTTCTTTCTTTCGTATACTCTCCATTGCCTATCAGAATTATTGCATGCATTACTTTGTATGGCTTGGGTTTACTGCTAATATGTTAAGTAGAGAGATACCTTCAAACAAAGGCATTTCATTCTAACCAAATTCTGAAAGAGTGAACAACTACCTCAAGGTAAACATCTAATGTTAACTAAATACCCAAAACAATTATAAAAAGGCACCATATAGTGTAAACGCAAGTGTCCTACTACTGGTGAACAAACAAAATTATTGGAACCTTTATACTCAAAGGATTTCCAGCCTTCAAAAAATAAAGTTATTTGCCCCTCACCTCTTTCCTATCAAACTAAATTTTACTATTCCTTCAAATGCAATTACTTGCCGCTCTTTTGTAACTGTTAATTCAAGTAATTAATACCGAACATTTTTAACCATATTTCAAAACAAAGCATAGTTGTACAAAGGTTTATATTATGTTTGTGATTAAAAAATTAGATTGATGATTTTTAATTGATAAAAAATCTATTTACAAACCTTGTGATTAATATGAAAATAAATTTTTACATAAATTGCATTTTTATCTAAATCACATGAAAGTATATGGTTGGGGTTTGAATATAAAAAAAAAAGGAGAAGCTAATATACAGCCTGCGGCTCCTCTCTATACAAAGGTATGAGAGAGGGTTATTGTATATATGCAAAGAGGTTATATTTGGTTCGAATCCATGACCAGCTGGTCACCAAGTGTGATAATATGGGTAAATATATCTGTCAAATGTAAATAATCCACTTTCAAATACTTAAGATTAAAAAAAAGAAATATATTTTGGAGGGCTTGAGAGATTCCTCTCATAATCTCTATTTATATTGAAAAACTGATACTAAGACATGGAAGATTAAGGGAGTGCACTAGACACCTAGGTGCAAAACACAACTAAACACACATGGAGAAATGTGAAAGAGGATCATTTGGAAAGAGAATTGAAAAGGGAACCTTATTATTGAGGGAGTAGGATGACATCCCCTTAATAAGAAAACATGATGTTAGGATGACATCCCCCAATGATGGACATGAATATTTGAACCAAGTAATAGGGTGCGAAGAGTCTCAACTAAGTATCTATTTTTCCTTTCTGCTAGCTATATCATTTTATTTTGATGTGTGAGGACAAGTAGACTAATGTAATATACCATGTGAACTTAAGACAATAGAGAAATTAGATGAGAAATATTCTTTGGCATTATCATTTCTAAAATTTTTGATTATTTGACCGAATTGATTCTTGATCTCATTCCAGAAAGATGTAAAGATAGACAATGATTCAGAACAATCTTTCATAAGATAAACCCAATTACATCTTGAATATTCATGAATGAATGTAACAAAATACTTAAAACCAAAAGAAGAGACACAACTAGGTCCCCAAATATCGGAATGGATAATACAAAAACTAGAATTACACCTTGATTTAGACCTTTTAGGAAAGGGACATCTAACATGTTTTCCTAACTGACTGGACTTACATTCTAAGGTTTGGAGACTACTGAGCTCAGGGATCATTTTCTTTAGTTTTTACAAATGCGGATGAGCTAACCAATCATGTAATAGTTTAGGACTTGGAGATGCAACACAAGTCACATGAGGACTAGATCCAATATTGTATAAACCTCGAGCTTCATATCCTTGTCCAATTCATCTCCTTGAACCACTCTCCTGTATAACAAAGGATTTGTTATCAAAGGTTATTAAGCAATTTAATTTTTGGTTAATTGGCTTAATGAAATTAGATTGAAAGGACAATTAGGAACAAAACAAACATATTTGAGATTTGGGGAAGGGGAAAGTGAAACTTGACCGACTCCCTTTGAGAAAGTTTTAGAGCCATTTGCCAAGGTTATGAAATGATGGTTTCTTTGAAAAGAAAGGGATAAGAATAAAGAAGCATTACCATAGATGTGATTAGAAACACCCTTGTCAATTACTCACGAATTTTGACCTTTCATGGATTGAGAAAACAAGTTGGTGATGTACTTGGAGTTTTAGATATTTGTGCCAAGCTATTAGACTTTAACCTTAGATACTCTTGATATTCATTTTTAGTGAATTTGGAGTTTGATGTTTCAACCTTAGAAACATGGGCTGTCTTGGCAAGAATACCATGTAGAGAGTAACAATTTTCTTGGGTATGGCCCATCCTTCTATAGTATGTGCATTGAGGATGCCCTCGACCTCCACATCCTTCTCCTCTAGTGCCACATCCTCGTCTTCCTCATGTGGCAACCATGACAGATGGTTCCATTAGTTCATGAGCTTCCTTAGTTTGAGGCTTTGGGACTCAAAGAAGACGTGTGGTCAAGCAACCCATGGAAGAGACTTCATGACTTGTCAGGAGTTGATTTCTAACATGATTAAAGTCTGAATGTAAAACACGAAGGATCATCACCATATAATATTTGTCAAGATTCTTCTTGATTTCCTCTAAATATTTGACTTCCAAGAACATCTTTAGTTCTTCCACAGTTGATTGGGCTTTGGGCTTCAATCATTAAGGACACAATATCATGATGGTCAATCATTTTGAGAGATGCAAGTTTCTTTGCAGAATCATAGAGACATTAGATATCATTGGCATAGATGTTTTGAGTTTTTTTCCAAAAGGAGTTGCATGTTTTGAAAGCTCTAAGGGACATTAGAAGTCGTGGTTCCACATATTGCTACAACAGGGCACATAGCTGGAAATCTGCATGTTTCCACTGCTTGGCATTTTCAGCAGGCTCATGGCTTCCATCTTTCTCAATGTGGTCATGATGTCCTTAGCCAAGGAACCACATTTCAACAACCACATTTCAACCAATGCAGCCCACAATAGATAATTTTGTCCATTTAGCTTCTCGAAAGTAATGCGGGGGCTTCCACAGAATGAAATAGCGTTTCTAGTAGCCATAATTGACCAAGGAGATGAAAACAGAAAGGAATCACGAGAAGAAGAGAAAACAACAAGGAAAAACAAAAGCCCTAGGGTGACTTCGAACCACATTGGAGCAAAGCTTTGAAGGCGAAAATGGAGACAACAAGGTCCGGTGAGACTGGAAACAGTGGTGCGACAGAGTTTTGCGAGAGGAAGGCAGCGTGTGGACGTCATATGCCTGGCAACACCAGACTTGGGTTAAGCGCATGGTGCTGCTTGGATGAGAATTAGCCTCCAGCATTGATGGGCATTAATGGGGTTGGCTGTTGCTTAAAGAGGCACTCCAGACCTAGTGGTCATCGGCAAAAACTCTGTTGGCTGGCGGACAACAGCGGCAAAAATTGTGTCGGAGAGTGGCATAGAGGGATCAACTCACTCTGATACTAACTTAAGATTAAAAACAAGAGAAATATGTTTTGAAGGGATTAAGAGATCTCTCTCATAATCTACTATTTATAATTAAAAACTGATACAAAAGTACATGGAAGATTAAGGGACTGTACTAGACACCAAGGTGTAGAATTAAGTATGACTATGTGTACAACTAATAATTGTCTAGCACACTACACCCTACTTAGGCTTAATGATGATACATAGATGTAATTATTCTAATAAATATTTCATATATTCCAAAACTCTCCTGCATGTTAAAGCTCATAAATTGAGAATGTAGAATGGAGGGAGTAGGATGATTCTTGAGAATTATCATGAGGCTAGCTGATACTTTCTGAATGAATGGTTAGTGATGACATGATGACAGTGGAGAAGATTAAAACACTAGAAAAATGCATGTTAGGAAAAGCTAATGAAGAAGATGGCCAGGATAGAGAGAACATGGCTGAAAACCTGAAACTAAACTTGCGGAAATTGAACGTGCCAGAAGGGTACAAAAATGGGGTCAGATTATATGAGTTAAAGTTGATTTGAAGGAAGAACTATAAGTAGTGCTTCAAATTTTGGGAGCTCAATAGTCAACTAGTAGTAACAAGACTGGTTGGTATATAAGCATTGACAAAGATTGAAATTATGGAATTCTAGGTAATGAATGAAACACTGAATTAATGATATATATCCTTTCTTCTTACAACCTTGACCAATAAATGTATACTAATCATATTAGAGGGAAGTGAATCATGAAATGATGATATTTCAAACAATCCTAAGTGATAGTGAGGAATTAGGAAACTTATCTTAAAGAACAAACCAAGAAAACATTAAATATTTTCATATATTCTATAGACAGTTGATCTGTAATGACATTTATGAGAGAACTGTTGAACTTGTAGCAATTTAATCTACATAATTACGATTTATGTTGACCAAAGGGTCCAACTTTTTTTTTGCTTATGCCCGTTTCCTATGTTTTTTTTTTTCAAACTGTAGGGTAATCTTGTATGCATCATTTTTAAAATTCTTCAAAGACAATTTTCTTGGAATTTATTTCATGTACGGTGGAAATGAACATGCATTCCTTGCTTCTCTTTGCTTCGGTTTCAGGTTGGACAAAAATAGAGGCCATTGATTCTTTGATACGTAAATCAGGATACAATGGTCCTATAACCGATGAACTTAGGATGCAATTACAGCTAACCAGATACCAAAGCACCTTATTTACCATGCACTATAGTGAATACGTCTCCTATGTGAAGGAGAGAAGAGGTGAAGCTCCTATTCTTGCAGCTAAATCACCTCACTACTAAATTCTCCAGCCAAACTTTCTAAAGGCTGCATATAATATATTTGCTGAAAAAATAATTCTATTTATCAATAGAGTTAAAAAAATAAAAAAGAGAAAGAACCCCACTTGCAAAGGGTTGGAACCAATGTTTGTCTAACCCTAACTACTGAAGTGTTGATGCAACTTTTCTATACTCTTCAAATTTGTGTGCTTTTAACTCATTTCATGTGACTTAATTCAGCATTTTATGAAAGTTGTGTACGGTTGAACTGTTTTCTATCAATCTTATTGATAACAGGAACTAGTTGGTTTGTTTGAGCAATTGACTTAATTCTGTCACACTTATTTTAATTGTAATTATATTTTAAATCTCTAAAATAGTTATTGCGATGGAAAAGGTTAAAAACAGAATTCGTATTTTGCAATTCGCGTGGAATAAAAATAATTATATTTACAATGTTGAAAAATAAAAATTACTATATTTTACGTCGATATATGATGAACATTAATGTATTATTATTTCAGTGCTTCTCAGGTTCAGTAAGTTTCTTGAACTTTTTTTTTGTAAATCCGTTACTTTTGGATGTAATGTAATATATCTTTGCCTTTCAAAAACTTAAACTGAAACTAACCTATTTATAAATATATAAATCGAATATCAAAATTAGTAATGACTGATATTGTTTTCTACAAATTTTAAAATCTGCATCATATAACAAGTGAATTCCACAATATTCGCATACATAATATTTCTATATATTCGATTTAATCATTATTGTAATTACTAAACTTTTTATATTAGTAAGCAACGAGTAACTCTTTCTACAAGTAATGCCAGGTGATTTACAATAAAAGTGCGATTTTAACACTTGAGTCTTGATTTTTTTTAAAATATTTAAAAGAGAGTTTCGCAAAAGGTATTCTGATTTTCCAATAAAAGTTTCGAATGTGTAAAAGACACTTAAAAACTATTTTAATTTATCTTAGAGACAATTAAAAATCAAAACCCAGTTTGTTAAGCTGATAAAAAGAACAAGTTGAAATCTATTTTAATTGATTGAAATATTGTAAAATGAGTTGCTAAAAAAATTTCAATCAATTGAATTTCAATTTAATTGATTAAATCACTTAAAATGACATTTCAATGGTTTTAATAGATTGATTCACATTTTAATGGGTTGACATAGTGAGAATTTGGTTATGATTGAAAGCTCTACTATTTAAACTTTGTTTTAATCCTTTGAAATGTTTAAACTTGTGTTTCCAATAAGGTATGAATATTTAAACAAGTTAAAACTACTTTAAATCCTTTGAAATCCCTTAGTTTTTTGTTAAGTGATTTCAATCGACTGAATTGAAAAGCAATTTGTTGAAACAATGCAAATTGAAAATCATTAAACAATGTAAAACATATCCATTAAAGCTCAATGTAATGTTAGATATAAAGTGAAATTCAATCAAAGGTATAAACCATCAAACACTCCTAAAAAAATTATTTTCATATATTAGCATCAAATTCCCTTCATTGAGAAAAAAATTATAGTTGCTCCCCTAAGATTAGCTTTTAAGAAATTATGAAACCTAAAATTTTGTCTTCAATCTCCATACCTCTTGAATGAAAACCTTTATGTTGGAGATTTTTTCCATCAAACAACTTTATACATCTTACCTTGTCGCAACCACTAATAACAAAAAGTTCTTTTTGTATAGGTGTATTCCTTTTGACTTCATAACAATACCTTCAAAATCCATATTTGTATAAAAATTCTCCACAAGGTCTAGATAGGCAAATAAAACTATTCATTCTCTTTCTAAATGAATTATGGAAGAAGCCATGGTAAAATCATAAGACCAATGTAGAATTAGAGATATAGACTAATAACACTCACATTCAAATACAAAGCAATAACAACAAGAAAAATCAAGAAGAGAAAGCAAAGTAGTTTTTTATTCATGTAATAAAGCATGGTTTTATATGTTTTAATAGGGAGAGATAAATATTCACAAATGAAAATATAACCAATTTCCAAGTTATTTTCATTTTCTCATAAACAATGCATTTTGATAGATTTTAATCAATTGAAATTGTAATTATAATTTCAAAAAATCGTATAAATTGCTTTTATAAACTCTTTAAAAGAACTAATTGAGAAGTAAAACACTGTACAATTGATCTTGAAATCTTACAAGATCCAACCACACTTGTGAAACCCTTCCACTAGCAAATGTTAAATTTTTCTAATTGAGAAACTACTTACGAATACAAAATAACAAAAGGGGAACAAAATGAACTGGATAACTAAAAATAAAAGAACTTCCTTTAGAAGCAATATTAAGTGATTTACAATAAAAGTAAGAGAACACTTGAAATTTGAACTTTTTTTTTATCAATTCTTCACAAATGTGAGTTCCAAAAAAATCTTGCACAAGAACTCCTCAAGAAAATAATTGTAAACTTAAAAATATATTGAGTTTCTATCTTAAAACAAGATATAGAAATTGATTTTGTTGAAATGACATATACAAGGTTAAATCCAATTTCAATATATTGAAGCTAGGAGAATTGAGTTCATGAAGATTTTTCATTTGATTGATTCACATTTCAATGATTGAAATCACATTAAATATATTCTCTTGCTTTAAATGATTTGATTCACATTTTAATCAATTAACACATAACAAAATGGTTTTCAAGGAAACATTTGAAAATAACTTTTGCTTATAATACTTCATTGATGCATTTTCCTTCCCCCTCCTCATATCCCTTCTACATTTAGAAAGAAAAAAAAATGCAATATCACATTTAACAATTTTTTTTCTTGCCATTAAGAATTTTAAGTCTCCCATGTCTAAATAAAGACTTTAGTTATTCATTTGTTTTCACTTACCACTTTTGATTGCAAAGCTTATCTCTAGTATAGAAATGTATACATTTCTCCATTCCCTCAATCGTCTCATAAAGAGTTACCTCATACTAATATCAAGGAATTAACTATTAAATCGAAGCTTTAATGGTAGTTTTTGTACATTGTTAAATATAATCAAACTTAATTACTAACCTCCCCATAAACTCTATTGATTTAACTATTCTTTCTTTTCTTTTTTTGTTTATCTCTCTTATTGATTTAACTATTCTCTCTTTCCTTTTCCTGTTTATTATTCTAGGATATAAGACGAGATTAACTTACCTTTTATATAACAAATATTTTAAAAAAAAAACCTTAATGTTAAAACACTATACCAAAATCCTTATTACACTAGTTTATTCAAATGAGTAAATAATGTATAAACTTGAAAGAATGACTCTTAAAAGATCTTTTATATTAGTCTAACTTATAATTATATTCAATGTCATTCTAATGTGTGCATGCATTGAACTCGATTTCACTTATCAAAACACTAAAATAGCATTATCAGACAAAATTAGACAAACAAAAATCCTCATTCCTACAAAGTAAGATCTCAACTCACTTCATATAGGAGACAATGTACATCACAACAATGTGCCTTTCAAAATATTATGAAATCTTATTTAAGTAAATGAATAAATTTAATTCTTTTCTTTCTTTCCTTAATTTTTCCAAACATTCTACAGACATAATTAATTTAATCCTTTTAACTTGATCATACATTTGTTATACATTATATTTTTTATTATTAACTATATTTTTTTTATTATATTTTAGGTGTTTGGAGTATACAACCATCACACAACTTAATCAATCTTCAAATGATTCTCAACATAAATAAGACTATTTCTTTGTTATAAGTATTGACTTTTACATATTTTAGAAAAAAATGAGTAGTTACTTGGATATGTTTTATCACATCTTTCAAGTTCGATGTGTAACATTGGTTTAATACTTTGATGACACTTGTTAGTTATTTGGTTATTAGTTTTGCATATTAATGATTTTAATTTTCTTTACTTTTGAAATATTTATGTAATTCATGATATTTTAGATGTAAAAATAGCATAAAATTTGATTTTTTATATAATAAACGCTACAATTAATTAAAGATAATAATAAAATTATAAAATTTATATAAATTTTGGAGAATTTTAGTATAATATGTTCGGTGAAGTTCTAACTTTATCACGAGCTAATAAAGCACGTTGACACAATTATGACTTTCTTTGTGAAAAAGGTAATGGGAGACATTTCCTCTCCTAAACTTTGTCTTCTTTAAATTCTAGTTAACAAAAAGTTTCTATGACGATTTATTATGAGAGGTGAAATCCATCTGTCACAATACATTGACGGTGACATTTTCATAATAAAAGTAAGAGTTATTATGACGTATTTTATGAAATATGTCATAATAGGTGTAATGATGACATTTTCGTAATAAAAGTAACATCTATTATGATAGGTAAAAGCTACCTATTATAGTAATTTGGATACAATGATAAAATTGATATTATGATCAAAACTTACTGTAATAGGTTTTAGAAGACCTATCATAGTAAGACTCTACTATGATTGTTGGTTCTTTACGTGTCATAATAGGTGTAAATCCTTAACTATAATCTCCCCACGTTCTCAACACATTTGCGCTGTCGTCTCCCACATGTCGTGTATGAAAGACGCTGTCATCTCCCAATGATCTCTATGTTCTATCTGTTCTTTGTTGAACTCTAAGGTAGTGTTTAGTGAACTCCATGACATTGTCTATTTCTCCCATGGTTTTTGTTGAACTCCACAATATTTTCTATTTCTCCCTTTCAATCACAAGAATGATATGATTAGCCATACAATTTTCGTTTGGTCTACTATAGTGTTTTAAGAAACAAATAGATATCCTTTCTATTACTGCAATTTGTGGGAATAGGCATTAACGACACTAGTGCAATTAATATAAACGGCCTCGGTTATTTTCACGTATAGACACAGGTTCCGCGACCGAGTCATATACAGCCGAAATAAAAAGATTGGTTTTTTTGACTCGGTTCTGAACCGAATCAAAAGGGTTCAGATTCTGCCTCTGTTCACAGACAACCGAGGTAGTAGAATTTTTTAATTCTTTTATTCTCAACCGAGATCAGTGTTGGTTTCTCGTTCTATTATCTGCAATTTTTTTCATCCATGTTTTTGGGGCAAAATTACTTTGACAAACTTAGATGATTGCTCCAATCTAAGAAAGGGGAAACAGGAAGCGGGGAAAGAGCAGACGACAGTGGAGGTGGAAGAGAGGAGGAGGAGGCTTTATTCCCTGACGGAGCAAGCAATCAAAGCTTTAGAGAAACATAATATCCAAACCAAAAACCAGAGAATTAGTATCCAAACCAAAAACCAAACTCACATATCCAAACCAAAAACCAAAATCAGAGATCCATTTCACCATCCACCTGCACAGAAACAGAACCAAAAAGGGTTTCCGCCACCATGCCGCCGCCGCATCCTCGCCGCTGCCGCCTCCTCCCTGCTCCATGAGATAAGGGTTTCCGCCATCGCAGTCGCCATCGTAGCCGCCATTGCAGCCGCTATTGCAGGCTCTCGTCGCACCGTCGTGGGCTCTCGCCGCACCGTCGTCGGCTCTCGCCGCACCGTCGCGGTCTCTCGCCGCACCGTCGCGAGCTGTCTCGCCTCGCCGCACCTTTAGTAGGGGTGCAAGTGGCTTGGGTTGGTTCAAGTTCAATCTAATTTTTTTGGGGCAAAATTACTTTGACAAACTTTGAACCCAATTAACAGTAATTGAGTTTGGTTGGGTTCAGTTTTATTAATTTAGCAACCTAATACAGTTATAATTGGGTTGGGTAATTAGGTGGAGTAATTTAAAAGAAAAATATAATCTATTAAGAAAATGTGTGGAGGACGAGCAAAGCTAATACAGTTAAAAGCACATATAAGTCTACAACAGGACAAAAGTTTAGAAACAAAAGTTGAACTTTCAATTATCGGACTGCAAAACTCTTGACATGTGCTATCTGCTCTGATACTATGACCAAAGAGAAGTTGTTGGTGAACAATGAAATGGATTTCCTTGACTACCAAACCTGGGAAATTCCCAAAGGCAAAACATTGCTGCAAAGAACAAAGAGATTATGAGCTTCAAGCTTGGCCATTACATTCTGCACAATGTTCCTTTGCATCTCAAACGTTACTCTGATAAGTACATCTTTTCCTGCAACTCTTGCTTCAACCTTCGAACATTTCTTGGTAGCTTCGTCACCATCATAACAAGCATGAGAGGTCCATGAAAAGTCATAACCAACCATGTTGCTTTTGCTCACTTTCAAGCACCCTTCTGATTCTATCTTCCTCTTCTTATTCTCTATCTCCAAATCTTTCACACGCTGCTCAAGAGACCTCACGTATTCTATGGCCTTGTTAAGAACAGAAACCTTGTCCATCTACACACATCTTTAGAAATTACAAGTTTCTTACATCCATTTTTGGACTTCATGCAAAGCAAAATCATCTTTGCACCCATTGAACAATCTACATCAGTTCAGTAATAGGTGTAAAAATAGACAATGAAAATTTTTGGTGATACTCTCTCTCCTTTTCTCTCAGCTATTATGTGATCAAGTGTCTGAGAAGAGTTTCTTTCCCTCTTGAGGGGTTCTCTGGTTTTTTCTTGTGTCTGCTTTAAGTGTTCACAAAGATGTTGTCATGTTTTCTTATCAAAATTGGCACTGAAGTGAAATTCTCAAATGACAGAACACAAGACTTTGGTCGTGGAGAAGCATGTTGCTGTGTGAGACTTGTCATGTCAAAGCCAGTGTTATTTTCCAAAGGTGAAAATTTGCTTAGAAGGATAATGCTGTTTTCTTTCAATGAGTCGTCTGCAGGCACCACTGAACTGTCCCCCTTAAATTCTTCTCCAACAGAGTTCATGTCAAAACCACTTAAAGTATGCCAATAATTGATTGATAGTGTGTGATTAGAGTATTGGTACTTTGAGAAAGACGATATGTGGCTGAGGCTAATGCCACGACCCTCTCACTTTTCCTCGACAAATGGCATTGCAATTTGATTTTGTAATTATTCTGTAAATCAACATAAGAAAATGTTGGAACCATTATAAGTGTTTAACTTGAGCAAGTTGAACTAGATTCTGGAGAAAAAGATTTCGAGGTTTAAATTATGAGATAAATTTGTATCAAAAAGGGTAAATTAGATTTGTTATATGCTTTTTTATATTTCGGGCAATCAAATTGTCAAGGGACAAATTATTCATCCACTGTTATATCTCAGTGTGTAATGAGAGAAAAAGAGCTTGTCAAAAAGAAATAACATTGAATTTTAAAATTCTAAGCCACTTTTATAACATAAATCTAGACTTTAGGTAATTCATGTATTATATAATAACCAAGATTTCAGTTATGTATTCTTAATTCATTTTAAATATATATTGTTATAAAAATACATTTTTAAAATTTAATAGGACAAATCATAAATTTAAGAAAACAAGTGAACGTAAAAAAACATATGGAACTTTTTTATTTGTTTCGTAAGTTTGTTGCTATGATAAGATGTTTGTTCAATTGAGAGTCTCTTTTTAAGTGGAATTAATTAATATTTTTCACCATCAAAATTATATCATATGGCATTTATGTATTTGTTTTAATATTATTATTTGCTCATATTGAAGTTATTTGCATCCCTTTTGTATAAAAAAAGATAACGCCAGTATATTTCCTGATCATGTTATCATTAGTAAAAAAGTTTATTTAGCACCTTACTTACATAAATAAGTAAAGTTTGAAAAAGCCATTAAAGTTTGTTTTTTTATTATATTTAAGTTGTATGTTAATTTTATTTATTTTGAATGGTCTTTGAAGTTTAACATTGTTTTTTATTTTAGATTTAAAAAAAAAATTTGTAATTAAGTGAGTCAGTGAATCAACCTATTTAACTCATACCCCTCATGAGTCAGGCAGGTTCGAATTTTTTCGGCTAGCTAATAAATAAATAAGTTAGATTGGATTGACTCACTAAGTGATCAACATGTGATGGGACTGACTAGGTTAGGTTAGGTGACCCATTTTGACAACACTAGTTATAATATGTTAATTCTAAATAGCATGTATTATAACAAGTAAACAATTACTTGTCATAATACATGGAAGATATTATAATAGGTGAAAGTAACTACGTCGTAAAGTCCACGTATTATATAATTAAATTGGATTACGTCATAGTAAATTGACCATATTATACGGAATGTTTATCATAATATACTAAATATAATATGACAAGTGATATAAAGTACGTCATAGTAGGCTGAACATATTATGATGTTCTTTTTCGCTACATCATAAAATGTGCAGACTTATTATGATTGTCAGAACTATGACGTTAATCCACTTGTCATAATAGATCAATTTTACCCATCATAAAAAATCATTTTTGTACTTATACCTATTTTTTATCCTTCAATCTCTATCTTGACCTAATTGAAGCCTCAAATGAAGGTTTAATTGTGTCTCTATAAAATCATAAAATTATAAGCAAATAATTACATATTTACATTATTGAGAAGAATAAATTTCTATTATTCTACTCTTCACACTACAAGAAAATAAGATATTATCAACAAATTATTAATGCTAATGATCCGTTAGTAAAACATATTTATTGACGAATTTACCGACAAACTCATTGGTAATGGACTTTGTTTTACTTATCAACGGATATATCTACCACCAATACTGTCGATAAACGTTATCAGTCATTATCGACAAGCGATGACCATCAATAAATTCTTCAACTTTTATAAAATCATAACCTAATTTCCCTCTCCCATTTTCATTTTCTACCAAAAACCCTCTCCCAACCCCGAACCTTATTTTCTTAGTCATAATTATTTTCAAGGTTTCAATATATTCCTCGGTCTTCCATCAATTTGCTTGTATCATACTAGTGAACTTGTTTGTTTAATAAATAAAATACTTTTATGGAGAAACTGTATTTTATGCTACTATATATATGTCAAATATATTATCACATGGAAACTTTGTGAAATATGTCATCATAAAAAAAAGACACATAAGTTATTTGTTTCAGCGAAAAATTTATAAATAATTGATTAGATCATGTTATAATTAATTATTAAATATAAGTAAGACAATCAATTATACTAATTAATAATTGAATATTTGGAGTCTAGTTTAAATAAAATTTTTGTTGATAAGATAACGAATTAGTCGGTTAGATCTATATTAAATCAACTATTATATATAAAAGCTTTCCTAAAGAATTTTGGAGTTAATTAGTTTTAATCATTTTGAATTGAATTTCCACCTTTTAAGAATTCTTCAAGATGAGTTAAAACTTTAATCCATAAATTTTTCTTAGAATTTGCACTCGAATGAAATAGGTGAAATAATTCAATATACTCATGGTCTTAATATTTTGAAAATTCACGAGAGGTCTTAATAGAGTTTTGCATGATTTTATAACTTTTTTTTATAGATTTTAAAGAAATTTATTTATTCTTATTGAGTTCATTACTTTTTATACGTGACATATGATTACAATCCATCTTTTAAGATAGTGACTCGTTAAAGTTGTGATGATTGACATCTTTTTAACTCTTTATATTTTAAATTCTTTCATATTTTCATGTTAACATGTGATGTTATTTTTTATATTTTTAATTCCTTAATTCATTGTTGTAAGAAGGCTATTTGAAAATTTATTATTAAGTATTTTTTTTTTAAATACTAATCCATTCCCTTCTAAAACCTATGTTTGTAACTAACGTAAACTGATGAAAGAACAAAATCTTAGTTAATATTAAGACGCACTTACTTTTAAATGAAATATTTTGGAAAGTATTTGAAAAGAATAAATTAAAATAAAAATTTGTTAATATTCTCTTTTAAAAAATGTTTATACTAAGATAAATTCAAAATATTTCCTTGTTTAATTTGTTTTTTGTAGTCGATGCTTTACCTGCAGCACCAAGCACTGTGATACTCACGGGTATAATATAGCAATGTTCTTGAATGGAATGACATTCCCATGCACAGTGATAACACGTTGTTTGTCAATAATAACAATTTAGGAAATTTGCTACAATATCCCCAGCCACTATTTATCAGTGTGATTCACAAAATGTGTTACGTGATAATCATTTTCGTGATTAGTGGTGACAAATGGTGATAAGTAAGTAGCCATTGTTGATGATTTGATCGTGATCGGTGATGATGTGATATAAACCTGATATTTACGCACAATAACTTCTTTTTCTATAAATCATAATAACCATTTCAATGGTAAAACCAAACATAAACAAAACTAGTTAATATTTTAATAACTCTTGCACATGTTTTCATTCTATATATATATATATATATATATATATATATATATGGTTGACTCTCTTTTTTTTAATTCAAAAGTCTTGAAATTAATTCCCGGTGTAACTTATAATATTACTTAATAGTAAAGTTATATGAGTTTAATTAAATTAGGTCATCGATCAACAAATGAATATATGTTGGCAAAATATATTTATTTTAGAAGGTTCGAAAATTTTAAGGATTAAAATTAACGAACAAATTTTAGGAGATTAAAAGTAAACTTAATATTATGAATCAACACAACAAAAGTATATTATTAAAAAACCATGTAAATTTGATTATATACCTTAGAGTAGAGACAACATAGGTCTATATATATCGGTCTTCTAAGTTTTGAGGTGTTTTTCAAGTTACAAAAATGTAAAATTATAGTCTAGGTTTATTTCCAACAATTTAACTAGAATTATATTCAGTAAAATTGAATCAAAAATGACAATTAAGATTATAAGGTTAGACATAATTATCTACATAATTAAATTAATCAAGAGATAGTTAGTTAGTTGGTTAATATAGTTTCAACTAAAAATGTTCGTTAAAAATTTTATTAATGGATTAACATCTTCCAAGACAAACTCAATATTCATAAATTTTACATTGACTTGAACATTAACTTTTTTTTTTTTCATATAAGATAACCTCCTTAAAAAGTGAAAAAAAAAACTGTATAATTAGAGTAGATAAATGATTTGAGGGTATATATTATGATTATTATGGTGATGATGATGGTATGGAATACCTACCTGTACAAGATAAGACAGGAGCACAAAATGTAGGTTACAGTGTAACAAAAAAATAATTCAGATTGAGTCGTACGTTGTGCTTATAAATCACAAATTCTTGCACTCTCTTTCTTCTCATTCATACTCCCTTCAATATCATCATCATCATCATCATCACCAATCATTCTGCAAAAACAACACTGCTTCACACTATTCATCAACAACACTCAGAGATGAAGAACAAAGTCATCAACTGCTGCATTTCCCATCTCTTTCACCCTTTCACGTCCTTTGCACACAGATGCAGTAAACTCGCTAAAG